ATGATGCACATAATATGTGCAGGGTTTTATTGCATTTTAGGAATACAGAGCCAAGTTAATTCTTACATTTTAAAAATATTATGGTAGAAAAGATATTCAATTAAATCTCTCCTACTGTAGTACATCTAAAACTCTTGGGGAAAATATTAAAGAATTTTTTAGTGCATGGTTGAGCTAATGGGACACAGAGTATTTCTCTGAGAAAGTTCAGGTCTGTAAATGAGGTAGGCAATAAGTGGACACTAGCAATTTTCCAGAGTGATCAGTCAAACCCAGCCAGCCTGGAGCTGGATTTTTTAAAAGCACAGGGATGCCAGTGAGGTGAGAAAAGACTGGCATAAAACAGAACACTTGAGGGCGCCTGGGGGGCTCAGTTGGTTAAGCGACTGCCTTCGGCTCGGGTCATGGTCCTGGAGTCCCGGGATCGAGTCCCACATCGGGCTCCCTGCTCGGCAGGGAGTCTGCTTCTCCCTCTGACCCTCTTCCCTCCTCATTCTCTCTATCTCTTTTCCTCCTCAAAAAAAAAAAAATTTTAAAAAAAAAAATAAAAAAAAAGAACACTTGATGCGTCGTCTACTCCAGCTTCAAAGAATTCACAAAGATAAAAGTCCAAACAACATGACCTCCTAAATGGACAGTTCACCCACCACACGGGGAAAATATCACAATATAAACAATCCAGCAGCAAAAAGAGCAGAATTAGATTGACATGTTTGAGAATTATTACATATAATTCATATATATCAAGAAATATACATATATCAAATATGTTCCAATACATATAATTGAACAGTATTTTTAAAGAAACTATTCAAATTCACAAGGTGGGTTTGAAAAAGAATTTCAAAAAAAAATAAGTAAATAAAACATATGCTCGACAGGAGTAATGCAATGAATGGGCTAAATAGCAGGTTAGGCATGGCTGAAGATAAGTAAAATATAGAACTGAGCAGATTACGTGGAGAGCAGCCTAGGGAGAGAAGGATATGGGAAATCTGAAGGTGAAATTGAAAGATTAAGGTAGCTTTCAAAGGTACGAGCTAAAACTTATGATGATTTAAGCATTAAATCACAGGTCTAGGAATTCCAAGAAAGAATTTTTAAAAATCCAAACAAAACATCTTAATGAACCTGCAGAGTAGAAAAGACAAAGAGAAGATCTGAAAAGTGTCCAGAGAGAACTAGAATGCCAAGATGGCAGATTTCTCACCAGAAACAATGGAAACTTGAAGACCGTGGAAGGGCATCCTTGAAGAGCTGTTAGTCTAGAATTCTATTCCCAGTGAAATTATTTTTCAAGAACAACAGTAAAATAAAGCCATTTTCTGAGGCTACCAAAAGACTCTCTGATGGACATATTTATTGGAATGTTCTTCAGAAAAAAAATCCATGATCCTGGAAGGAGTTATGAACTATAAGAACAGACAAAGCAAAGAATATTTTTATATCAAAACAAACATTGATTATTCAAAATAGTGACACTAATGGTAGTTTCCAAAGTTAAAAAATCCAATGTATAACTATAATCACAGGGATTTCATGTATTAAAAGGTGAATAATCACAGTAAAACATTCTAGTCTCTGGGACGCCTGCGTGGTTCAGTCAGTTAACCATCTGCCTTTGGCTCAGGTCATGATCCCAGGGTCCTGGGATCGAGCCCCACATCGGGTTCCTTGCTCAGCTGGGAGTCTGCTTCTCGCCCTGTTTGTGCTCTCTCTCTCTGACAAATAAATAAAATCTTTTAAAAATAAATAGAATATTCTAGTCTGTATTGTTTGGGAAAAATTGAAAAAAGTATTGATGACTTTTAGACTTTGTGATGTTAGGTATCCTTGAGCAAATAGCTATAGTAAACATTAGCTAATAGAATGTATGACAACCATACTCATACAGGGAGAAAAATACAGAAATGAACGTAAATATATCATGTTACAATGGGATCTAGTCTCTGTAAATTGACTTATTCTTGAGTTAAAAGACAAAGATAGCCTAGCTTCAAAAAAAGTACTATTTGTAAGAGATATAACTGATATGAACACAGAATGTTTGATAGTAGAAGGGGAAAAAGTTATTCAATTTAATTATTAGCCTGGTATCTTAATTTTTTTTTTACTGCAGGAATCCCAGAGTTTTACTGCATATTCATAAATAGTTTCACTAGGAATATTTAATAATTCCATTCTAAATAAAATAAAAATTGACAGAACCGCAGAAAACATTATCAAATCCACAATACAATGAACAAACTTGTCATAATGGACTCATAAATAACAATTGGAGAATTAAAATCAGATCCTTATGCTCCTGTAGCACTTGCCTTAATAATAGAGACAATGAAGTATAAGAACAATGGACTCATAAAGGGAATTTGACATTTGAGGAAAAAAAGTAACTTATACCATGAAGTAATGTGCAATCAGAGACTAATGAAGAATAGTAAATACTTGCTGGGCTCAGGGGTAAAATGAGTAGTTCAGCTTGTATTTTACAAAAGAAATCTTTTTTCTTTTAAAAGTGGATCATTTTTCTGATGATTAAAGTGGTATGACCAAATATCAGAAGGGGAAGATAATTATGAATGCATCAAAATTAATTACTGGGTAGAACAACCTAAAATTGCCATAAATAAGATTGCTGTGTGTTCCAAATAACATATGTGGAAATGTATGTGCAACAGGTTTGATGGAAAAGCGGTAAGAAATTTGGGCAAAAGGTATGAAAATGTTATTCACAAAGCAAGAAATAGAAATAGCTAATAAATATTTGAAAAGATGGATAACATCAAATGTAATCTGAGGGGATAAAAAGGGAAGCAACAACGAGATAACATTTTTCATGTCAGATTGGCAAGGATGAAAAGATTGAAAAACTCATACATAGGGGTTTATAGACACGGCTCTGTTCATATATTTTCTCCATTCTTCATATTGTCATTCGAGTCAGCTTATGGTCTTTTTTTTTTTGTCATGCGCAAAAATATGTTTTGTAGTAATATTTATCCATCTTGCAGGGGTTTTTTGAAGTTAGTTTTATTACTTTAATCTTCCGTTAACAATTTGACAATATATTCTGTGCTCTTTGATCCAGTCATTCCACTTGTAGGAATTTATCTCAAGGTATTAAAGTATGTACGTGCTCAAGATTGTTTTTCATAGCCTTGTTACTCTCAGTGGAAAAACTGAGTAAATCTCCAGAAATCGAGGACTTGTGAGAGAGATTATGGGGTGGGGGGGTGGAGGAAGATGTCATTTAAAAGATGACGGGAGGGGCACCTGGGTGGCTCAGTCGTTGAGCATCTACCTTCGGCTCAGGTCGTGATCCCGGAGTCCTGGGATCGGGTCCCGCATCGGGCTCCCTGCTCTGCTGGAAGCCTGCTTCTCCCTCTCCCACTCCCCCTGCTTGTGTTCCCTCTCTCGCTGTCTCTGTCAGATAAATAAGTGAAATCTTTAGGAAAAAAAAAAAGTGACGGGAGGTAAGAGTAAGCTTTTAAATGACATATAGGCTAATATTTACATAGGAAGATATGCATGACATTACTAAGTGTACGGAGCAGGATATATCTCTGTTGTAGAAACTTGCGTGTGTATGTATCCTTTGTAAGTAGTAACTTGTTTACGTTTGCATAGATGGTAGTCATAGCCCATGATGAGCGTGGTCTATGCTGTTAAATAAAAGTAATGACATAGAATTGGGGGACCCAAGTCTTAGTCACTGTTAGGCTGACTTCACCCTATCTCTTTACATCTCAGGGCCTCCTTAAGCACCCTCATCTCTAAAAATGAGGGCAAGGGGGTGAGCCTTGGGCTTCATTAGCAATGACAAATACACCCGTAGTGGTTGTCATAGTTCTTTTCTGCATTCAGGGCAGATGGTAGCCATCAGCCCTAGTTTCCTTTCCCTGGGCTCAGCCAGACCTCAGGATTTTTCTCAACACAGTGTTAGGTCAACACATTTCTAAACAGATGGTACTTTGCACTTGGAACTTCTTTGCTCGCCTTGCATAGGATGATCTTAGAAGTTCTTTCAAGTAAAGGATTTTTCTGAGGAACGAAGTCACTGTGATGAGAAGTAAAAGGAATATTTTTCAGAAAAAGGCATTTGCTTTTCTAGTAGCCACATTTTTAAAAAGGTGGCAACAGAGGCTCCTGGGTGGCTCAGTCATTAGGTGTCTGCCTTCGGTTCAGGTCATGAAGTCAGGGTCCTGGGATCGAACCCTGCATCAGGCTCCCCACTCAGTGGGAAGCCTGCCTCTCCCTCTCCCGCTCCCTCTGCTTGTGTTCCCTCTCTCACTATACCTCTCTCTGTCAAATAAATAAATAAAATCTTTAAAAAAAAAAAAGTGGAAACAGGTGATACAAATATTGATGATATATTTTATTAAATAAAAGATTTCATGTCATTTACATAGAACACATATTAGTGGAATATTTCACATTGTTCTTTCACACAAAATCTTAGAAATCCAACAGTGTATATTTACAGCACGTCATATTTTAGATGACAGATTTCACTGGAGGTACTTGATCTCTATTTAAGTTACAGTTTAAGAAGCAGATTCTCCTATACCAACGTTCTTAACTTCTGTAATAACTGAATTGAGTACCAGTTCTTAAATTTAATTAAAATTAAAGTTGAGATAAGGTCACAAGAGCCACATTTCAAGTACCCAATAGCCACGGATGGCTGGTGGTTACCATATTGGACAATGGAAGTTTAGAGAATGCAAAGAAACGTACCATTCAATTTTAGCTTTCAAGGAGATTCTCTAGTTGGGAAAGCAAGATATAAAATATATATATATATCAATCATAGAATCCAAAACAGAGTGTAATTAAAAGTTTGCAGTGGGCAGGCTAAGGGCTCCTTAAGTAGAAGTGCCAGAAACCTCCACAGCTTGATGCAGGCTTCCCCCCTTTGGAGTCTGACTGGAGGCGATGACAATGTGAGTTGGGAAGAATGGAGCATCTTACTTGAGCAAGTGTGTGTGTTCTCCCTGCAGGCATGGGACCCGCTGTGCTGGAGAAGTGGCAGCTGCAGCGAACAACTCTCACTGCACAGTCGGAATTGCTTTCAATGCCAAGATCGGAGGTACGGGAAACAGACTTGGGTGGATGGAGAACCCTTTCTGAGCTCGAGACAGGGCTGTGTTGGCAGAGTAGTGTTCAGCTGTTGTCAAAAATGACCATCTTCATGTGTGTTATTAAATATAGTTCAGGGCTTTTGAAGCAGTACTCCTACAGGGGTGCAAGCACAGACATTTCTTGCTTTAAAACGGGCATGAAAAGCATGTCCAGTCATGAAGATGGGGTCATTGACATCTGTCCCGAGCTATACAATGGCTGCCTGGCTTGGAAAGAACTGATAATCTAAACACCAGCCCATAATATCTCTATGGAGAGAGACATTCTGAAATTAGTATCAAAACAGAAAATCCATTTTTTTCCTTTTTCCTTATGTTTTACCAAAAGTTCCTTTTTAATGGAAATTAAAATGGGAAATGGTATAATCTTCTTTTGTAGACCCATAATAGAGCGATAGAGATATTGTTAATAATCCCAGATTATGTATATACATTACACACATTCACAAACTCTATACATATGCCTACTACGAAGACCTAACCAAGGGAATGTAAAATCTGGGTGTTAATAGAAGCAAACTCTTTGCCCTTTGTAATCATCTTCCATTAGCTCTAGCCTGGTGCCACAGGCACACACAGATGGGCGAACACATGCTAACAGACACTATAGATCCTAGTGGTTCCAAGGTGTCCCCTGGGGGTTCCCCTAAACAGTGTCACAGATGAATGAACTTCCTGGTAACTAGACTGACATCTTTGTTTTCCCTACACTATTGTTGCCAAGTGGTAAAGAGAATTGGATCTAAAATTTAACCAGTCCTTCCTAGAGTAAATGTAGAGGTTTTGTAACATGACATTTGGGATGTACACTAACGGTGCTAAGGAAAGGTTTCCTGACACTACCTCGAATGTCAGTGCTCAGTGCATTTGACCTCTCTCTCTCCTTTATTTCACACCGAATTCTTAGAGTATGGCCACTTGTTAACCAGTTATTAGCTATACTCTGACAACATCTGCTGAGCGTCAAAGGGGAAGGTTCATGAAGGAGCTAAAGAAAGGAGACAGAAATTTCCCCTGAAGAATGATAAGGGTGCTGGACACCCCTGATAGTCTCAAGAGAATCCAATGACTGTGGTGGCCCTGATAATCTCAAGAGAATCCAGTGACTATGGTGGCCCTGATAGTCTCAAGAGAATCCAATGACTATGGTGGCTACTAATCAGCCCTGCTTGCTGTCCCAGACACGACACACACAGTCCCTCACATAGACCAGCACACATCGTTGTCCGGGTCCTCACTGTCCTGCACTAACCCAGCATTCCCTGACCCTGAGGGACTGAAGGAACAAACTCACAGATAAACTTCTGATCTAGCCAAACAGGACTTCAGTAAGAAAATGAATGTATGGCAATGACTCACCAACGTTCTGTCATCCCCAAAACAAGAACATTCTGAATTATATACTGAACCACCCGGACCCAAAGCATCAAGGCTTGCAGTCAGATATAAGGAAAAATCAACCTCTCATCTTTAAACTTGAGGAAGCAAAATTCTTACTTGTTAATTTGTGGGTCAGAAAAGGAGTATTACCCTCTAGATATGATTTCATCAAGCATTTTTTTCCTAGACTTCCATCAGTTGCGTGACCCAGAAACTGCACTCAGGTATCATGTAGATACTCCTCTATGTGTTGGCATTTCAAATTACCGGTTAGGTTATTTCAGGCATTTATATAGTCCAGTGTTTATTTCTTTGTACCGGTAAAATACAGTTGATCCTTCAACAGCACATGTTTGAAATGTGTGTGTCCACTTACATACATATTTTTTTCAGTACGTACAGTACGCTACTGTAAATGGACTATCTCCTCCATAAGATTTTCTTAATAACCTTTTCTTTTTTCTAACTTACTTTATGGTAAGAATATAATCTGTAATACATATATCATACAAAATATGTGTTCATCAACTCTTTATGTTGTTGGTAAGGCTTCCAAGCGATAGTAGGCTATTAATAGTTACGTGTTTGGGGGGTCAAAGTTGTACGTGGATTTTTGACTTCGTGGTGGGGGGGGAGTGTTAGTGCATCTAACTCTGAGTTGTTCAAGGGTGAACTGTAGTTCCATTTTCTGCTTTGAAATAGCAAGAAGTAAAAATGGAGGCATATGAAATAGTTCATCTTGTTTTCAGTAAAAACCATGCAGGTGAATTTTGAATATTTATGTCAAATTAAAGTAAACCAGTGGCTGCTTAGGACCCAGTATATACAAAGAGCATCAGGCTGGGCATTCTACCCCCACAAAACAAAGTCCTGAAAAGCCTTCTAAGTACAGTTTCCATTTGATAATTTCTAAAGTAACTTATTTATAACCCTTGTGATCCACATCAGCTGTTCTATACGTCTCCTTTAAAAATCCAAAGGTCTGGAGGAAAAGACAGTCAAGAGATATAATAATCAAGTGCTGTGTCTTTAGGGGCACTTTGAGGAAATTCAGTGTGTCCTGAATGTTGATTTCCACTGTTCTTTTGGAAATAAATATTAAAGGGTATAGTGACTTATCTGTCATGTAGCTTAAAAAGGTTCTGCTGGAAATATGGCAGAATGTTACCAGTTAAGTTTTGTCTGTCTCAATGCTCATTGTCATTTCTTCTTTTATGTTTGTAAATTTTAGAGTTAAAAGTTAAACATATTTTTAAAGCACAAGGAAGGTATAGTTTTTTTCAAGAATATGTTGATTTTCTACCAGAAGTCCCATCTCAAACCGCATAGTATCAAAGCTGCCTGATTAGTGGTTTTATTATTTAAGCCCCATGGGCTGGTAGCCATAAAAACTTGAAATCCCGCTAGAGAACAAGGTTTTTCTAAGGAGTAAATATGGGCCGTAAAGATATAATTGTAAAATAATACAGCATCTCAGTGAGGCTATTCAGTTTAAGCTGAAGGAGAGATGGGTTTACTTCACAATTAGATGTTTTATTGTTCTGAGTCTCCAAAATAAAAGGAAAGAAAGCCTGACATTTGACATGTAATTTATTTTGGGGTCTCTGTGTCAATTTTTTTCCTATTAAGGTTAATAATAAATTCCTGTCTGTCTGGTGGGAATATGCTTAAATGAAGATTAATGACTGAACATTGTTAAAACCCTTGGAGACTGATTTGATGTGTGACATGCAAAGAGAGCATTCTCATTTATTATTTGACTTATAAATAACTTGGCAAAGAAATAATGTATTAAGTTCACATCAGTCTTACAGATTAGGAGATAATATTAAATACGGAGGAAATTAGACCAACCTAACTTGGCGGCTTTCCAAATTTTGTGAGCCCGCTAAGGTCAGAATGCTCTATATCAATTATGAACACAAGTTACCTAATGAAGAGAAGTTTAGGGAAGATGGATTGCTTGAGGCTCTCTCTGTCAAGTACTCTCTGAATACAGGGAGAAAGAGAAGGGAGAGATTGTGGAAACTTTAAAAAAGACAATAATGGATAAAAAAGATTTTAAAGAAGTTTTGCTTTCTCCCGTACGACGTAATTTACTTTCTCTCCGGGAAAGCTTTGGAAGAGTCCGCATGGGGGGGCGGAGAAGATGTTCACTTAAGTGTTGATTAAAAAGTTGATTCTTTGCACCCAAATTGCTGTAATTGGAAATATGTCTTGGGCTGTTTGGGTGTTATATAGTGAAGCCTCTATTCAAGCTAATTCCCTTCTGTTTGGAAGGGGTTCGGATGCTGGATGGAGATGTCACGGACATGGTTGAAGCGAAATCGGTTAGCTTCAATCCTCAGCACGTGCATATCTACAGTGCAAGCTGGGGCCCTGATGATGATGGCAAGACCGTGGATGGACCGGCTCCACTCACCCGGCAAGCCTTTGAAAACGGCGTTAGAATGGTAGGTTTTAAAAGCACCTTGGCTCATACTTTGTCGATCAGTGATGATTCTCTTGATGATTCTCATGGGATTCTCTAGAGGAATGGACAGAGCTCATAGCTGAGCCAGGAGACAGGTTTATAGAAAGAGGCACTGAACCTTTAGGTTTGTGTGTTACATCCATTCTGCAAATGAGCTAATCACAAGACTAAGCTAAGCTGTCTCCTGGTTATTTTGAAATAGACTGGAAGGGAAGGCTTATGCACTCATTCAGGATGTACTTCCTAACTGAAAGATAGTTCAGGCTTGGTTAAGACATCCGTTCTAGTTCTGTCAATTTTTAGCTACTCTAGAGCCCTTTAAAGCTATAGAATAGTGTTTTAAATCGTTTTGCCTAGAATTTTCCTTTCAAGGTGTCTGAACAACAAATGAATGTACTCTAAGTAATCTGGTGGTTGCATTACCAAAGCCCTGGAATGCAGATTAGTATTCTTTCTATGCCATCCACTGAATGGTCATTCAAGTTAAATAAATCAAGCTTATTTCATATTTAGTCTTCAAATTGTATTTGTATGGCTTTTGATATAATATAAAGAGTAGGCTGGAATTTCTCATTAGTATAATATATTAGTAATTAATCTCAATAGCATACATATAGACAGACAATGCCCCATGTTCAGTAGTTGCCATTGAATCAGATGGGGGACCGATGTTTTCAAATTTATTTTTGCTAGGGAGTCTTTCATTCAGTGGTAATCTTGACTGGAATTTCAATGTGTAAAACAAAAATCTGGTACTTTGGTTGAAGGAGGAAAAGGTTAAGAAAGAAGATCATCTGAAGAAGCTATTCAAACTTATAGGAAGATTATATTTAGAAACAAATAGTTTTGAAAAAAATTACTTTATATTCATTATTAATTACAAAAGTAACCCATGCTCATTAAAATAAATCATGCTATAAAGATGAAATTAAAAATAGATTCCCCACACAACTAGATAACCATTGTTAAGGGTATGGACTCCACCTTTCTCTACTTCTGTGTGCATTCCCACAACAAACAGGGATCACATGCCTCTGCATGTTGCTGTTTTCACTTAGCAGTGTGTGATGGGCATTCTTCCAGGGTAATTCATAAGGATAGAACTCATTTATTGTAATGTTTCACCATTTTTAGAATATGGAGATACCATAATTTATTCAACATTTCACTGAAGATCTTTCAAGGTTTTAATCTAAAAAAAGAGGTGGGGGGGGAATTTAGCTATTTACTTTTAGAGTTAAGGTAGTAACAAAAGAAATAACTCCTAAAAAAAAAAACAACAGATTCTTCTCTGGCTGTTCTCATGGCACATGGATTATGGAAAATCAGCAGCGACCCATTTAAATGTGTTTAGATCAACAGGATAGGGTTTCTATGTGTTTGCTATACACAGGCTTCGGACTTAGCCAGGTTGAGTCCGGGATCTGTCATTTACTGCTCTCTGACCCGATACAGATCAAATTACATCTGCTCCCATTTCCTCATCTAAAGTAAGCCAATAATAGTACCAAGAGAGATGTTATGAGTGTTAAATGAGATGATAATGCATCTAAAGCTATTGACACAATACCTGGTGTCAATAGCAATAGGCGCTCAGAAATACATTTTATTTATAGGTATCAGTGTGTGTATATAAATGTATATATATTTACATATACATATATAGGTATCAGTATGTATATATACATATATTTTTTTTCAAAGAAGAGATTATGTCCTTTCAAAAAACTTTATATTTCTCCTCAGTCCCCTATCCTTGTCTACTATTTCTGCACTACAGAATTCTAGATGATTCCGTTGAGCTACCTGTAGTGGTGGGTTAGAAACAATATATAGAAATCAGCATAGACTTTCTGAGTTCTTGCATGTCATATACTTTGTTCTTCCTATGTCTGGCCTCACCTTCAATTTCATTTGCCCTTAAAAGCACATCTTCCATTTCGATATACAAATTCATTCTACTTATCTATGTTTGTAGTCTTGAATTTAATTTATATTTTCCCAAGAGATGTTTCTCTAAATATCTATGAATATATAATTTAACATTTTTAAAGCAGCATGTTAGTCTTCCGGGAGAAAGAAACCTTCCGCTTCCTTATTATCAGGCATCAAATGGCACAGTACATTCTATACTCTTCGATATTTTATTCTAATTTGTGTTCTATATATAATATACATTGTCAAACTTGAAAATGATCGGATGAAATCTTTATACAAAGTTAGATTACAAAGCGCACCTAAGAAATGAGTGATTTATTGGCTGCGTGATTTAAGGAATGAAGGAATAAATAACTACTAAAATAGCTCCCTCAGGTTCTGGATAAAACCCTGTGTGACAGCTTAAAGTCCCTCTGGCCTGTTAGGGTTTTAACTGTATCACCTACAAAAATACAGGAATTGAAATTTATTTGTTCTTTCTATTAAATTCAGTGAGCTCCCACTTTCTGTAGAATGTAGATAAAGCAATGAAGGAGACATCTAAGTTTTATATGCAACTCATCAGAGTCTGTACATTCGAGCAACAAGACGGGAAACGAACATAGAAACCGTCAAGACGACAGGCTAACAATAAGTGTTATAAATGAGATAAACGGGCGAGGGGGCAGGACAGAACTGTAGTTCAGGAGGATAGGGAGTCCTCTCTGAGGAGGGGGTACATGAATGGGGACATAAATGGTAAGAGGCCAGTCATGTGGAAGGGATGTTTTCTGCAGAAGGAACAGCAAGAGCAAAACACCCTGAGTGGAGAATGATCAGGCTGTGCTCACAGAACAAAATGCTGATTTGGATGATGGGAGTGATGTGGGCGGAGAGCAGGCAGTAAGAGATGGTTTGGAGAGGTAGTCAGCGGCCAGTTCCGCAGGGCTTTCTAAACCATGGAGGGTGTTTGCAATTTATTCCATTGCAGAAAACCTTTGGAGGTTTTCTGAGTAGTGGCCTGTTGGGACACAAAATTTTCAAAGCTCGCTGCTGTACAGGGAATGGACTCTATGTGGGAGAGGGATGGGGAGGCAGGAGCAGAAGATTGAAATGGTCCAGGGAAGTGGTGATGATAAGCCGGACTGTTGGGGGCAGCAACATCAGGACAAGTGGCAGGGGGGAGGGGGAGGAAAGAGGAAGCAGCCTACGTATCAAAACAGATTTTCACAAAGGAAATATATTTTGCTCAAGGAATCCAAGTATTGATCACATTCATTCCTTCTGCTTGCTAATCAAAAAACGTAGCGAATACTGGATTTCAAAATGCTGCCTATTTGTTTAAGAAGTATTTGGTTCAGTAGAATGTAACACTCTTTTCAAAGACTAACAAAATCAGAATTGATTCAATTTAGAGCCTTTCGAATTAAGGTGCCAGCATCGCATTAGACAAAACTATGTTGAACAAATCATGTTACAATTGACAACTTGCTCTTTTCCCCAGAGACCGCATTTTCTTTGATGCTAAGGAGCTGTACAATTCAATGCAGGAATCAGAGGTACATAATATGCATTGTGTACAATTAATGATGATGATAGTAGTAGGGGTAATCATAATAATAACTATACTAAAACACTCAGCATTTGCCCGTCTGTTAGCATATGGTCAGTCCTCTGAGCCCCAAAATAGATAACTTTTAATCTTCACAATGATCTCATAAGATAGATCCTGTTCGCCCCAATTTTATAGAAAATAGATACTCAGCAGAGCTAAACAAGTCAGAATGTGGGCCTCAAAGAAATCTAATAAATTATTCTGCATGTCATCATTTCTGCTTTATTTGGCACATCTGACCTCCTTGTATCATCCGTGACCACATAGCGGAGATTTTTTTTCCCCATTACCGTGGTGAATGAATTTCTCACCTTCTACCTAAATCCACCTCCTCCATTTCTTCACTGGGTGCCTTAGCTTCTCGCCTCACTAAAGACGTGGCTCGATCAGTTCTCTCTTCTCTCATCATCAAAACATCCCTTTTCCTCTGCATTACTGCCATCCACATACCATCAATTCTATCTCAGAAGACAGAGGGGAGACTCTCTCTGCGGTTTTCTTCTATTTTTCCAATTACTGACTCATTTCTTTTTTGTCCCTTGGAAAGCATTGTTCATCCTTTCCTCTACAAGCTCTTTTTCTATTGTTTCTTAAAGCCACTCCTCAGAGCCCTGACCCCTCACTGCCCTGAGGCTGTTCTTGTCAAGACCACAGTGATGACCTTGTTATGTGAAACCCAGGGCTCTTCTCTGATCCATTATGTCATTTGTCCTGGTAGGGAGGCCTGCTTGCTTCTTCTAGTCCACAATAAAATACACACATGCCAACCCTTCAGAACCCTTTTCTCCTTCTATTTAGTATATTTCCTTATCTTGTTGATCAATTGTCTCTCCCGTAAAGGCCCAGAGATGGAGCGTTTTGTTCTGTGCTAGATCCCAAAAACCTAAAACAATGTCTGTTTAGTGATGAGTGAACAAATATGTGGGTGAATTCCATGCCAGTTTGCTGCGTATACTGAGTGAATTTATTTAAGGATCACACTTGGATTGGTTTTTTTAATTAATAATATGGAAATGAGTCACTAACATACATGATATATTCTGGTGATTAATGCATGCGGACTATGGATTCAGACTCTCCAATGGGTTTCAATACATTCTTACCGTGTTCAAGTTAATTAGCTTCTCTGAGGATCAGTTTGTTCCTCTATAAAATGGAGCTAACTGCTAGTAATTACTTTATAGGACTATTGTGAGGATTATATGAATAATACCTGTAACGTATGCAGCGGTTTCTGGAACATAGCAAAGTCTCTAATTAAGTTATGAGTCTTAATCGTTACCACTTCTGAAAAGGCCAGGGTAATAAAAGTGAAATGCCATTTAATCGTGCAGAATGCTGTAAAAAGTCTTAATTGTCCAAAATCTCTGGGTTAGTGGATTAATCCATTTCATATTTCTAAGTGATCCTTAAAGAAGGTAAATATACAGTCTTGAGATTATTATTAA